GCCATGAGAGTCACAACCAAGGTTGTGTTAAGAGAAAGTAGACACTCTGCTGCACTCCTCTATCGGATGACACTGCTGAACACCCAGTGCTCATCTGCAGACAGGATCAAGGAGCCATTTTCGGCACAGGTGCCTGTGGATGACCCTGGACAGAACACAGGAAACAACAGCAGCCCTTTTGTTTGGCTCTGAATGAGCTCCTGACATCTGCGCACTATGTGCACGAAGGAAGACTTCTTATCTTCACCAAGGAACATATGCAGATGGCCAATGAACACATGAGACAGTGTTCACTACTATCAGCCATTAGAGGAATGCCAGTTTAAGCCAGGATGATCATCTTTACACACCTATTAGATTGGGTAAAATACAATAGAGGTAAAACCTAATACTGGTAAGAACGGGGAGAAACTGGACCACTTAGTCATTGCTGGTGGGAATGTAAAGTGGTACAGCCACTCTAGAATATAGTTTAGCATTTGCTGGTTTTCTCAGTTTTATTGACATGTAACTGAGATATAACATTGTATTAAAGTATACAACAAAGATTTGATATGTGTATAAATTGCAAAATGATCCACAATAACTTTAATTAACATCCATCACCCCCAAAGTTATAATTATTTTTCCTTGTGATGAGAACTTTTTTTTTAACTTCATTTATTTAGAGAGAGACAGAGAGAGAGCTGGGGAAGGGCAGAGAGAGAGGAGACAGAGAATCTCAAGCAGGCTTCAAGCTGCCAGCACAGAGCCCCATGCAGGGCTCGAATTCACAAACTTGAGATCATAACCCGTGCCGAAATCAAGAGTCAGAGGGTTAACCAACTGAGCCACCCAGGCACCCCTGTGATGAGATCTTTAAATTTTACTCTCTCAGCAACTTTCAAATATACAGCACTGTTCACCATAGTCACCACACTGGACATTTCTTGCCAAGAACTTATTTATCTAATAATTGGAAGCTTATACCTTTTGTCTTCCTGCCCCCATGTCCCCTACACCCAAACAGAGTCTTATAAAAGGAAACATTCTATTACCTTATGACCCAGCAATTGTACTCTTCCCCCGCTCCGACTTAATCACCCCCTCCTCCTTGAGAGTGTTTCAGGTGTCACTGACCAAACCTATCTCCAGGACCAAGCCCAATATCTCTTCCTTCATCTACAAGCCACAGAGATGTATTTATTTTAATTATTTTTAATATAATTTATTGTCAAATTGACTAACATACAGTGTGTCACAGATACATATTTAAAATGAGCACCTGCTGCAGGCTCATTAGAGCCAGTGGAACAATTCCAAGACTGTCTATGCTATTCGACAAAATCCTTTCTCTTTTCTGAGGATGCCATCCTTAGAAATAGATAAGTCTGTAATGGTCAAGAGTGATTATAAGAAGTCTGAGTGAAGCCAACAGCCACGAGTCAGAGTGGATGGATGGAAGGAATGCACACTGGGCGTGATTACATCATTCATGGAGGTTCGTCCCACACCTACTAAGCTTTTGAATCCAGCTGTGCTTGAAAAGAAACTACCCTGTTTCCCATGCAAAGGCAATATACTATTTTCAAGCCTACTGAGTTAGGTTTCTGTCATTTGAAACTGGAAGAGTGATGTCTAATAGAGAAACCGGTACTTGGAAATAGGGTCTTACAAATAAAAGTCTGTACAATGTGGATTGGCTGAGCTGTGATAGGGTGGATACAGTGAGGGTACGTCTCTCCTTACTAAGTAAGCTGAGAAGCTAGAAATGTCGGTTACAATGTGGTTGACCTGTCACCTATTGTCCCTGGGGATATGGACAACACCTAACCAGGCTGGAATATTAGGAAACTTGGCAGAAAAATGTGAGAATGTAGGATGTAGTGGTTACTCCTTGTTCCCTGCACTAAGCTCCAGCAAGAAACACACTTCCTTTACAGAGAAACTTCTATGCACGCCAGCCCATCAGGAAACAGAAAGAAGAAAAGAAAGCATTGTTAAGAGAGACTCTTTCTATGCACAATAATTGAAGGTGTTTTAGATTCTATGCATTGTTTTACCTGCAGGGTTAGAGGCAATAAATTCTCTGCCCCAGGCTAATGTTGGAATTAAAGAAGGAACAGAAGGTAAGATATCAGGAGGAACCGACAACTTTTTTTCCCTCAGGCTTCTTTTTTTCTTTTTGTAATATCCTTTACTTTTTGACTCCCTTCCCATTTCTCCCACTCCACAGTCCCTGCGTCTGCCAACCACTAATCTACTTTCTGTATCTATTAGCTTACTTTGTTTTTTTTTTTGTTTATTTGTTTTGCTTGATTTTTGTTTTTTTGCTTTTTGTTTTGATTCCACATTTGACAGAGATTATATAGTATTTACCTTTCTTTGTCTGACTTATCGCACTTAGGATAATGACCCTCAAGGTCCATCCATATTGTCACAAATGGCAAAATTCCATTCTTTTTTATGGCTGAGCAGTATGTCAGTGTATATATATGCCACATCTTCTTTGTGCATTCATTCATTGATTGACACTTAGGTTGTTTCTATATCTTGACTTTTTCATATATAATAGTCTTTTAAATAATACTGC